AAAAAAAAAAAAAAAAGCTACAGAACTCTCCAATTGTTTTGTATAGTACCTGTATAAATATTTGCTTTTTGTTTCTCTATCCAGCACATCACATATCCTTCCCATTTGGAGGAAAGTGCCCACTGGGTGAGTCTTGGCTTGTCATAGTAAAATCAGACTTTCTTTCTCTCAAGCCTATGGTAGCTGGGGTGAGAGCATGGGACCCAGGGCAACTTGAGGCCTCTGTCCTAGACCTGGAATCTTGAGGGTGCAGCCCAAAGAGGCAGGGTCAGGTGGCCATCTGGGGTGTCTAACAATGCCGGTTTCAAGTGACCAGCAGAGGTAGTGGTAGCAGTAACCCTCTGACCAGAGGTGCCTGAAGCTGGATGTTGGCTGAATTCCTTGATTCCTCCCATTTTCTCAAACTGGTTTCATTGCTAATAATTTTGTGAGCCAAAATTGATGAGGAAGTATCTCCTTCAGCTCCAATTATATACTTCTGTTGGGAATAACTGCGAGATTTTGAAATGAAGAAAATAAAAATTATTGAGTATACTGTTTAGCATACCCTTCCTGGTTATTTCCCTTTAATTGTTTTTGAGGTATTTCACAAGTCTATAATTTGTGGAAAGCTGAAAATAATACAAATGATTCTTCTCTATACCAATGCAAATTATTGAGTCAGATAGAATGCAAGTGATTATTGCCCATGCATAGAACCAAGTTGCAAGTGTTTGTAAATTCATGGTAGCATTCCTATGGAAGTGTGTACTTACATAGGAACTTTGTACGTATATAGGTATTTGAATTCTTTCAACCAGTTGTAAATTCTTATCAAATCCTCTCAGTAATTAATGAGTTAAATAAAATCTATGCCATGTTTTTATTTGGCAATTCATTTCAGCATTCCTTATCTGCCCATATATATGTGTGGTACTTGAATTCTTTCAACCAGTGAAGAATATCTTACTGGTTTCCCCGACAATTAATGAGTTACATAAAATCTATGATGCTTGTTCATATCATAGTTGTATCGGAGTCATTATTTTATCACTTAAAACTATTACCGTTTAACAACAGTGAAAGAGAAATCACATCACTGTCCGGTCTTTAGCTCAAAGATATACCCCCCGACCTCTGCCCACCTCAAATAGCTATTTACCTCCTGAGGCAGGAGACCCAGGTGCTGGCCTTAGCTCTGATTTTAACCAATTTGTTAATTCTCATAGCCTCGCTGGACTTGTGTTCCCTCCTCTTTGAAATAAAGAGGATGAATTCAATACTTTTAAAGATCCAACTCAGCTCTAACTTATGATTGACTCTTACACACTTGGTTTTCTCCACACCATCCTTTGTGAATTTCTCATCCCTTTTCCCAGATACTACTGTTTTTATTTCTCTTTAGTTCATTCTCCAGCACAGCATGCCCTATATTCATTCTCTTTCTCAAGATTCAGTTCCTCTATATTCAGCTTCCTGTCTCCCCACATCCCAATATATGTACACACACATGAATACAAACCTCTGCGTGGGAACCAAAAGACTGTAACAAACTTGCAGTTATTATAGGATTACATGGAAGAAACAAGTAATATCCACTCTGCTTAGCCCCTAATCCCTCCAAAGAAACTACCTCAAAAAAAAATAAACAAGTGCTTCACTAAAAAAAAACTACTTAAACGAATCACTTTGATGTCACTGTTCGATTTAACCAGAGGTAAAAAATAATAGCACAAGTAATGGGCTTTCTTCTCTCTCCTCTGTCTCCCTTGCCAGAACCACTCTCAGGCTTCTCCAGCTCGGTCCGGAGAATGCACGTCCTCAGCATCACTGTGGCTCACAGAGACGGCGTCTCAGGCCTGAATGGCAGGACTCAGGCGTTGCCTATTCTTTCCTTGTAGTCCCTGAGGTCAGTTACCCTCAGGGCTCTCTTACAAAATGCTTTTTTTTTTCTTTTTTTTAGGAGAGCAAGGTACAGGCTTTTATTTAGAGATAAAGTGAAAGGACAGAGCTCCTAGCTCATGCCAGGAGGGGACAAGAGAGTCCGTGGTGGTGTGTTGTCTAGGGGTTTTATAGGCAGTTGAGGGCATTTGGGAACGTGAAAAAAAACTTATGGGTGTGGACTTGTTAAGTGGTCCCTGAATGTTAAAAATTAACTTAACATAAGGAATTTCCTGCCTTGATTTCTCTCTGAGATACTGGCATCTGGTCTGGGAGCATATCAAAAGGCTGCCTGCCCAGCCTCCAAGGTGGGCTGAGGTATTGTCTATTTGCTGAAGAATCCTGCCTCTTAAACTTCCTGGATGTTAAAATGCAATCTTTTAAGATGGAATTCTTCCTGCCTTTTACTATGTCGTCTACAGCTGGGTCTGCATGCTGTTAGTTGCTCAGTTTGCAAAATCACCTCATCAGATCTGAAGGAGGAACGACAGCACATAGGCCTGGGTCTTTAGTATGCTAAAGTGAATCTTACACATGATTACAAATGATTAGCATAATAAAACATGTCCTGCTCTTCTTTACCTGGGGAACATTAACTGATCTCACTGAAGAATTATTCTAGAGCTTAATGTTTAACATAGAGTTTTAGTAGGGGGGTTTCCTTGCATGTAGTTACATTGCCCTAACTGCAAATATCCCGCCCTGCCCCCTCAAGGGGCCCTCACCCTACTCTGACTACATCTATGGTCCCTGTCTCATTCCCCCTCTACAGATAGAGACCCTAGCTGCTGCTAGGGAAAGGAGGCGATGACCACTCTGGCTGCTTCATGCTGAGAGGGGGCGCAGTAAGGGGTGCAGCTAGGTCTCCATCAGGGAACGGTTGAGAGGGCCTCAGAGGATGGGCACTTCTTTTCCAGGTTCCATTTCGATTACTATTTGCAATTTTGTGGCTTCTCCGAAGTTATCCCGGATGAGCCCCCAAAAATGATGCCGGGGTTCTTGTTTATGGAACTGAAGAATGAGCTTCACAAACAGTCAAGGTAGGAGAGCAAGGTACAGGCTTTTATTTGGATATAAAGTGAAAGGACAGAGCTCCCGGCTCATGCCAGGAGGGGACAAGAGAGTCCCCAAAATGCTTTTGTGTGTATTTTTCTACCAAGTTCAGTTTAGAACTTAGACAGTATCGTTTCTATCTAAAGAAAAGACTCAAAAGGAAAGCCAAATTAGATTCTTCCAAGAGCTGTTTCTAGCATTAATTGCTGGCCAGTGTGATGTGATCTCTAAGGTTTCTTATAACGCATAAAATGTCACGGGGTGTTTGGAAGTTGAAGGAATTGTGCCAAATGAAGACAGCAACAGGAACTTCCAGGCCAAGAATATGCAAGTGCAAAGCATGGACTCTTCAAAGGAGCCCAGTGTTCTGGGTGCAAGAAGTAAGCGGTTCAGTGTGGCTGCAGAAAGCAGGCCGTGTAGAAAAGGGGGAGGGCGAAGGGAAGGATTAGGAAGAGGCAAGCCGGCAGAACTACGGAGAGCTAGACTGCAGGGGCCAAACTGCCCCCTGCACTGCCAGGCCACTCACAAAAGGAAGCCTCTGTCAGATCTGCTTCTTTTTATAATTAAACAATATATGGAGATGTAACTTTGGAAATTTCCCCTTTGAGGTGTACCCATTCAAATGTGGTATTTTCCCCACAGACAAATACCAAAAATTCATTTGACCAAAATGTTTGCTGAAAAGTGTAACTATGGAGAAAGATGTGTAGTTGGGAGTCTTTGATTTTCTCCCTGCAACGTATGTGGGTGATCACCCTTTCCTTCCCACACCTCACCCTCTCTCCAATGCCAAGGAGTCCCTGAGCAATCAGCGGTAGAGGTAAACACAGTGGTTGCAATAACTCAAAGTACTTTATGGTGTGATGGTGACTCAGGAGTTTGGGTCTAGCAGCATGGCCACTCTCCATCAAAGAATTTCAAAAACCTTTTCCCTTTGATTTTGGTCTCCTGAGGGACACATGGACAGGCAGTGCTTCAGTCATCTGTTTAGTGAGTAGCCCTGGGCCCTCTGCAGGGGCATGCCTCCCCAGGCCTGGTGAGCTTCTGATGAGAAGAGGCTTGGCCTGCCATTCTGGTGCACTCACATGATCACCCGAATCTAAGACCTCCTGCTCCAAGGCACAACCAGCCCTGAACAAACGCAAGAGAGCAGGTTTGCCTTCAGCAGGCTGCCACCCCAGGCACCCCTCACCCTTGTTCCGTCCCTTCCCCACTGAGACCCAGCAGGTGTCAGTCAGTTCAGGCTGCCATAACAAAATACCATAAACTGGGTGGCTTGACAGGAATTTATTTCTCAGAGTTCTGGAAGCTAGAAAGCCAAGATTAAAGTGTCAGGAGGGTCAGTGCCTGGTGAGAGCTGTCTTTCTTTAGGTGGCAGACGGCTGCCTTCTGTGGCATCCTCACACGGCCTTCCCTCTGTGTTCACATGGAGAAAAAGAGAGAAATCACTCTCTTTCCTTCTTAGAAGGGCACTAATGCTATCATGAAGGCCCTGCTGTCATGACTTCACCTAATCTTAGTTGCCTCCCACTGGCCCCATTTCCAAACACCGTCACATTGGAGATGTGCTTCAACATGTGAATGTGGCAGGATCTTGGGAGTGGGGACACAAACATTTAGTCCATAATATTCCACCCTTGACCTCCCAAAATGCATGTCCTTGCATGCAAAATACATGCACTCCATCCCAATAGCCTCTTAAGTCTTAACTCATTCCTGGATCAACTCTAAAGTCTAAAGTCCTAAGTCTCAGTTAAATATCAACTAAATCAGATATGGATGAGACTGGAGGTATGATTGATCCTGAGGCAAAATTCCTCTCCAGCTGTGAATCTATGAAACCAGACAAGTTATGTGCTTCCAAAATACAATGGTGAGACAGGCACAGGACAGGCATTCCCAATCCAAGAGGGAGAAATAGGAAAGAAAGAAAGGGTGGTAGGTGCTGAGCAAGTCCAAACCCTAGCAAAGCAAATTCCATCAGATCTTGAGGTTTGAGAAAAACCCTCTTTGGTTTGATGCTCTGCCTCCAGGACCCACTGGGGCAGTGGTCCCACTTCCCATGCTTTGTGTCCCCGTTCCATAAGGAGCTCAGCCCCTGAGCTTCTACAGGCAGCACCCCTCCTAAGGCATTGGGTGGGACCTTTCCCGTCCACAGAAGCAGGAGCGGTGGCCCTGCCCTTGGAAACTGAGAAGGAAAGAGAGCCTCGCCCCCGGACCTATGGTGGGGGTGCCAGTCCTCAAGATATCTGAATCTCCTCTGGGGTCATTCCCCCCTTGCTTTAAAGTATAGCCCATGTTCACAGCCAAATAGGACTATGGTCCTGTCGTGTAGAATCCAAGAAGCCTTCCTTCACTTCATACCACCTCTGTCCCTTTAGTTCAAATGGGCAGTGTTTCTACTTCTATAATTTCATAAACTTTTACTGAGTAATAATGCAGCCACACCCTTGGTGTTCTCTTCAGAACATGTTTTCTCATTTTTTGCATTATGGACAGGGTGAGAACATTCCAATTCTTCAAGTTCTGGTTCCCTTTTGTTTAACAATCCCTTCTTCAACTCATCTCTCCCTCCTGTCATTTTACTCTATTCTCTTGTCTCTTACTCCTCAGTCAGGAGGAATCAAGCCATTCCTTCACACTTTGCCTAGAAATCTCCTCAGCTAAGTACCCCATCGTATCCCTCACAGGTTCTACCTTCCACAGAACACTAGAACACAGTTCAGCCAAGTTCTTTGCAACTTTATAACAGAAATCACCTTCCATCCAGTTTCTAATAACACGTTCCTCATTTCTATTTAATACTTCACCCCTAATGTCCGTATTTCTAGCGTGCACCTCAATACTCTTCCAGCTCTACCTGTTACCCAGCTCCAAAGCCACTTCCCCATCTTAGGTATTTGTTTCAGGACCATCCTGCTTCATGGTATCAGACTCTGTCTTAGTCTGGGTTCTCCCAAGAAACAGAACAGGATATATACACATATATATAAAGAGATTTACCATAAGGAACTGGCAACAGAGTCATGGAGCTTGAAAAGTCCCAAGATGTGCCGTCAGCAATCTGGAGACCCAGTGGAACCAATGATGGAAATTCCAGGCTGATTCTAAGTCCAAAAGCAGGAGAAGATCCATGTTCTAGCTCAAAGACAGTCAGAGAGAAAGAATTCTTTCTTACTAGCCTTTTTATTCTATTTAGATGTTCAATAGACTGGATGAGGCCCACTCATGTAGGCGAGGGCAATCTGCTTTACTCAGCCTATTAATTCAAACACTACTATCATTCAGAAACATCCTCCCAGACATACCCAGGATAATGTTCAACCAAATATCGGGGCGCTCTACCCTGTGGCCCAGTCAAGTTGACATAAAATTAACTATCACACCAGGTCCATCCACCTTGACCTACTTCCTTGTCTTTTCCTCATATGTTTAATGCTAGCCTCACCAGTTCATCAGTTTTCTGATTTTGTCCAGTAGTCAGAGCTTTTCTAGGAAAATGCTTGCTCTAAAAGTACTACTAAGATATTGATGAGTGCAGATGACTTAACAATCATTTTCCTTATTGCATTTAACTTGTGCTTACTTAAAGAAGGAACATTTATTGTGGAATAATACATGTAGCATAAAATTAACCATTTTAACCACTTAAAACAATTCAGTGGAATTAAGTACCTTAACAATGCTACACAACCATCACCACTACGGAGGTGCTATCACCACTATCTAACTCCAGAACTTTTTCAACACCCCAGAAGGAAAACCCATACCCATTAAGCAGTCACTCCCTACTCCCCCGGCCCCCAGCCCCTGACCACCACTCATCTGCTTTCTGTCTCTATGATTTGCCTATCCTGGATATTTCATACATGTGGAATCACATGCTACATGCATGATCTTCCATGTCTGGCTTCCTTTACTCAGTTAAGGAAGAATGTTAGCCTCCTAAGATAAAGGAAGTTGAAAAGGGGAAAGTAGGA